CTAAATATAAAAAACTATTTGTAGAATATTTTATATAATATTTATACATGAAAGTAATCAAATAAATAAATAAGTAAATGAATGAATGAATAAATAAATATATAAATGAATAAATAATTAAAATAATAAATAAAGTAAATAAATAAATTTTATTTATGTATTCACTCATTTGTTCGTTTATTTATTTATTTTATTAATTAATTAATTAATTTTATTTATTTATTTATTTATTTATATTTATGTATTTATTTATTATTTATTTATTTGTTTTTTAGTTAATTAATTAATCATTTATTTATTTATAAATTTACTTATTCATTTATGCATTTATATATTCATTTATTTATATATTGACTTTATTTCAATTTTTCATTATTTGTTTAGCTTGATTTTGAACATTTTATTTGAACTCGAACATATAAAATACATTTTTTTGATTACATATATCTATTTACGTTTTTATCGTATTTTTTGATTGGGTTTTTGTTTTTTAATTGAATATCTCAAATTAAAATTTTAACGTAATCTTTAATTATTTGAGAAAGAATTAATATATTCTAAAGAAACTAGTACTACAGCAGTCATTAAAATCTATACTATACATATGTTAAATGTATTTAAATGAGAACAAGTACCAAATAACTATGATAGTCTAGTGGTTCTTTCATTGCTAAGGAGTGAGAGGTTGTGGGCCATATTTGATGGCATGGAATGACAAGCAACTATAAGGCATAAGTGACGTGGCACATAGGGTGACATGGCAAAAAAATACCTTAGTTTGGGAAATAAGTTTAAAACTACCCTATTTTGGGAAATAAGTTTTAAAACTACCCTAGTTTGGGAAAAAACTCGAAAGTGGTAGTCCAAATAATGCCAACTTACCCTATGAATGTGTTCCTCCTCCCCTAAAGAGTTACTCCCTTTGTAACAAAAAAATTTTCTCACTTTCCTTTTTCGTCCGTAATAAAAAAATCTTCCTGTTTCTAAATCTTTCAATAATACCCTCAATAATTTTGAAAATAATACAGTATTACAACTATTTTTTTGGATTTATCCATTATTCCATCACACTATTCCACTATCTTCTCATCATACATTCAATAATTTATATCCTCTTTCACTAATCATTAATCTATCTACTTTTGAAGTGAGAAGACTTGAAAATTAGGGAGGGAGTATGTGAGGAGATAGAAATGTCAGTCAATGGTAGGGGTGGGCACGGTCGGTTAACCGGATTTTGGTTAACCAGTTTTCGATTAACCGAGATATAGATTACTAAATTTTCCATACTGTTATTCATACCATAACATTGGTTAACCACATATCGGAACATTGGTTAACCGCATATCGGTTAATCAAAATTTTGGTTAACCATTAATGGTTAACCAATAAACCGTAAAACAAAAAAAACAAAAAAAAAAAAAAAAAAAACCGTAAAACCAAAACCATGAAAGGAATATATGAACTTGTCAATAGTTTTGAATTTATGTTTTTAATTGACCTCCATAACAAACTATTGTACGTACTGTGGACAAAATTTGTTCAAATTGGCTATGTAATAAACTATTGATAGTTATAGTTTGGCACTTTGACTTACTCTATTTGCTCATTTATCTGATAATACCAACGTATATAATACTTCATAATACCGGCCAATAATAATAATAATAATAATAATAATAATAATAATAATAATAATAATAATAATAATAATAAGGAAAAATTGACAAGAATAATCCCACCTTTCAGAGGTCTTCTCATAATAATCCCACCTTTACATAATCTCAAAATAATCCACCTTTGCATCCCATCTTCTTTCATTGGACCCTGACAAGGTTTTTTACTCTTTCTTTGTAAATCATATAAATAATCTCACCTTTCACTTTTTTATTATATTCTTATAAATGTGAGATTATTTATATAAGATTTTCAAAGAAGGCTAAAAAAGTTGGTCAGGGTCCAATGAAAGAAGATGAGGTGCAAAAATGGGATTATTTTGGTATTACGTAAAGGTGAGATTATTATGAAAAGACCACTGAACTGTGGGATTATTCTTGTCAATTTTTCCTAATAACAACAACAATAATAATTCATGCTACCTGCCAATAAACCAACGCTAATTCATACTACCTGCCCATTCATACCAGTCACTAACGTAGCATATAATGGTACAGTTGATTCCATATGAAGCGCAATTAGGATTTTTATTATTTATTATTACGTGGCAGCAGAAGGGAGTTGGGGAAGCACAACGCATCAATGCATCATGCTACAAAACATTCTAGAACGGGGTATTATTTGAAATTTCACTCCCTGGATAACCAATGTTAACGTAACTTCAACTGTAACCGTACCATAAACAATTCTTCTTTTCGGTTGGTTAACCGTACCACAAGCTTTAAAAAGTTCGATACGGTTAACCGAAAAATACCTCGGTTTATCGATTTTTTATACGGTTAATCTGTTATGGTTTTTTTTGCCCACCCGGCACCCCTACTGGCTGGCGGCAGTTCCAAAGCGAAGAAGGCGGCCGGCGGAAGATTCTGGATGAGTTAAAAGCATGACTAAATTTGTGGTACCGAATATCGAAGGTTAACGATTCATTTTAGTTTCTGTCTTGTTGTTTAAGATGATTCAATAAATTCATATTCAAAATCTAAGAAGCATTGGATACCAGGTCGGCAGATATTTGGCTACTCTCTTTAGAGTTCTACTAAGAAAATAGCAGGTATTTTGTTCATAACTTTGGATTGGTGATGGCATTCCATTTACAATTAGAAACCTTGATATATACCGAGTACTTCTTATACGGAGTATATTCATTTATAATGTATACTATGCAAAATTTGCCGTGAATACCTCTCAAGGTTGCAAAATATGAAGTATACTTCACATTTTCACAATTCACATAAATTAAGAATGATGATCCAAAGATTGATATACGTTTAAGGTGGTTTATAGACTCTATTGGAATGTACTTTTACAAGGATAAAAACATTAATCAACCAAGCTACTACAAAATTCATTTTATAATTATATATGGTAGACTTGAATACACACGAAGTTAGCAGACCCTTGAAGGATTGTCAATTAAAATTGATTATGATAAACAGTTTTCTCACACATCACTTTAATTACAAAAGTTCATTACACATAGACTTATAAAATTTAATAATGGATGTTTATTCATTCAAAGACTAGAATGTTGGAATTTGTTTTTCCTAAAATAAAATGGGTATAACTATTATGAGAGTGCATAAATATGTTCATTAATTCCATTATATATTCAATTTCATGAGCTCATGTTTTTTTTTTTAATTTCAATTTTGATTCGATAACATTCACTAATATTTTTAATTGAATATATTGCCATGCATTGCGCGGGCATGATTTGCATGGAAGAATTGATCTGCTGCGTCTCAACGGGGAATAACCATTTAGCAAAATATTTGCTTAGCAAGGGGCCCATCATTAGTGAGATGCTAGGGGTCAGTATGCTTGAAAGAACCATGGAAATGGGTGTAATAACAGATGAGCAAGTATTTGTCTTATGGCTGTGAGCAAGCAAAAAATGGTTAAATTCTTCAAAGCAACCTGAGGTGAGATTGTATCTAAAGATGCACAATTCTTTTTTCTTCTTATTATTGTGATGTATTGTTATTAATGTTATATACAAAATACTTTGGAGTTTGGACGCAGTTTAATGTAGGGGTGGACCGGTTCCGGTTCGGGCCCGGTTCGGGCCTGGGCCCGGCCGGGCCTCGGTTCAGAAAAAGGAGGCCCGGGCCCGAACCGGTGGTGGGCGGTTCCGGTTCCGGGCCAGAACCGGGCCGGGCCGGGCCGGGCCACCCGGAATGTTTTTTTTTTTTCTTCTTCTTCTCTTATTTAACCCCCTACGGCCCTACCCCTCCCCCTCCACCCCAAACCACCCCAAACCACCTCAAATGGCCCAAAATACCTAATCCAACCCAAAACTTAAAAAAATTTCAAAAAAAAAAAAAAAATTAAATTCCGGCCCGAACCGGGCCCGGCCCGGCCGGGCCGGTTCACTAAACTGGAGGCCCGGGCCCGGACCGGTATACCACCGGGCCTGGAGGCCCGAACCGGAACCGAACCGGTTGACCGGGCCGGTCCGGGCCCGCACAGTAGCGGGCCGGTCCGGTTCCGGGCCGGTTGGCCCGGCCCGAGTCCATCCCTAGTTTAATGTTGTAACATTAGTCCGTATAATACATGTACGTATAGAGTATATTATAGAAGCTATCACTCCTAACATTTAGTTTGTTCTTTCTACTTATGTACTCCGTAACAAATAGTGTTGTTTTTGTACCACTCCATCTTACTCCAATTACTACTTTTCTAAAGTGTTTGTGTTCTGTATTCTATTACTTTAAAATCTAGAAAAATGCTAGAAGTACAAACAAACTTACAAAAAAACTTACAAACAAGTTATGTGGCTATTATAATTATCTTTGATGTAAAAGTGTTGTAAAGGTGTTGTGATGTGTTAAATAATGAGATGATGCCACATACCCTTTTTGTAAGAGTTTTTGTAACAGTTTTTGTACTTCAAGCATAACTCTAAAATCTAATTTCCCCCATTATGCATTAGTATTATATTCCAAAAATATTTTGATTTCCTTTGTTCCGTGCAACGCACAAGTGAAATTCTAGTATAACTCAATAACATTGCATCACTCCCGACTCCTACTTCAGGAAATGACAACCGACACTGGCGGGAGTAACGACGACTAGCAAATGTATTTGATGTTTTAAATTATTCTCAAAGCTCAATTATAATTCATATTTCAAATAAATCTACAATTCATTTTTAATGTCTACCATTTCCTGTATAAATTAGGTAATTAGGAAAAAAAATACCCGAAACCGCCCGACCTGATCCGAGACCGGCCTGGGTATCCGGGACCAGGACCGTACCAACCCAGGTCAGTACCGGGCTCCATATTTGTAGAACCGGGACCGGGTCCACCACTAATACATGCTAATCAAAATGTTACAATTAAACAATTAAAAATATAAATAAATGATGAATTAATAATGTGAACTAATCATACGTGTTATAGGTACAGTACCTCACCTTATTCCAAATATCTTTGACAATCGGGTGAAAAAAGTTGGTGAACTTTTTTGTAGGTCGGCGCTTATGATTGTTTAGGGGTGGGGCAAGGGGAAGAAGAAAGTTAAAACTGCGTTTGTTAAAGAGTTGTAGAACATCACGTTGGAGCAAAAAAGAAGGCTCTTTTCCATCATTTTGATGGTGCCAAAGTGTGCTCTTGTACCATTTCCTTACGCTTCTGAAGAAAACTACCTGTCGAAATTGACCCATCAAAGTGTATCAGTAGAAAATATTGCCCTCAAATCTGAGATTGGCAAAGGCCTTTTGTATTAGTGATGACATAAACTTGTGGTTTTAGATACATGCGGAGTATGAGATTTCAGGTTTAAATTTATTATTCAGCACAAATATTAAAACAAGCCAAATAGAAGAAAAAAAGAGAGCCAGATCAGTAAATGATTTAGCTACAAAACGCAGAGCTGTTGTAGTAGTAAGGCAATGATCCATGCGATGATGTGAATGTAGCTTCCAAAAGTAACCCAACCCATGGAGATTGATAATTAATCTCCAGTTCCGTGTTTAGAAATGGACAACCACATCATTGGCCTAAAGCTTTTTTGAATTCTATTAGTGGCTAGTCTTTATTTTGTTTTATTCAGTCTCTGTACTTTTCAAATTTATCACCTTGACCCACACCAAATCCTTTGGCTGGCAATGAAATATGGGGTACAAAGTTATAAAAACCTGCTCAAAGATAACAAATTGTTCATGTTCAAAGATGATAAATTATCGACGTAGTCATGAACTCATGACAAAGGATAGCTGAAATGCTCAAAGATAAACCAAAGTTCTTATGTTCTCTTGGTAGTGAAGTCCACCCACCACCCACCCACCCACACATCCATCCATCCATCCATCCATTTCATTGGATTTCCAACCACACAAAAAGGTAATGGTTATGTGTTTTGAATAAGAGTTGAAAATTGCCTAAATTGGAGCATTTCCAAAGAATGCTAGCTTGTTTATATCCAACTTTTCACCCCCACCTCCAGAACAATAGTTTTAACAAAGGAGCGCTTAATAGATTATTCGACAATTCAAATCTAAATGTTTGAAAAGGCTTTACATGGATCAATGGGATAAATATAAAACTATATTAAGGGAGAAACAATTTTTCTTTTGTAAATCCAGAAATAAATCATTGAGATCTATCTAACTAAAAACTATAAACTTTGAAGTACCCAAATCATAGAAGAATATATCCATTAGAATAGAGAGTGTACCTGGCCTTGAAATTAGGTTTATATGAGATCGAGGCCCATCAAACATCCAGCTATCTTCATCCAGGGATTTAACCACTTTATTAAGTGCAGCCACGATGTCAGATTTGAGAACTAAAGACACAGCCATAGAAAAAAAATGTATGTGACTATATTTCGACCGACCCCAGTAAACAAAAAATATAAATCCCCATTTTTTTCATAGTTTTCCGAGCAAAGAGAGACAAAAGAAAATGTAGAGTGTGTTACCCATCTCTTTTAAAGAGAGACGACCACAATTCTTCAAGTAACTACATCTTCACAATCTGAAATCTAAACCTTACCATAGTGGATGCAAATGTCAAGACATAACACTCACTTGAAGAGGAAAAGTAGATTCAGAAATCATAGACATATTTGGTATGGTGACATACTTAAAAAATCATAAATTTATATATTATAAAAATACAAGTGGTATGGTGACATACTTATAAACTTATAAAGTTTATTAAGCTACTTAATAGAATGAAATTTGCTAAAAAAGATGCATTAAATTTTGAAGAAAAAAGCACACCACGGACGATTAGCTTGACTACGAAAGAGTGGAATACCATAAATAAGAAACCCATTGGACCCAAACTGTTCAAATGCTACTACCCTAGCCAGAACCACAACATCACCTACATGCTAGGGCTGTAAATAAACCAAACATCTCGTAAACTATATGGATCTCAGTTGAATAAAAGGTTGTTCGTGCTCATTTTATGAGGCTCCTTAACATAAACAAACCAAACACATGCTTGATAGTATTCAGTTCTCTAGCATTTTATGGGACTCCTTAACGTTTTAAATGAGTAGTTGAACATTTACTCGATACTCTGTATTTCATAATTTCACTACTTTTTATAATAATGTATACTCCATCCGTCCCCTTTTAAATGGGACGGGAGATGGTGGCACGGGTTTTAAGAAAAGTGAGTTTGTGTGGTTGATATTAATTGATAAAGTAAGAATAAAGTAAGAATGATTTTGAGCCACACAAAGTTTACCAAATAAGGTATGAGACAATTAAATAGGGACATCCCAATATGGTAAAACGGGACATTTAAAAGGGGACGGAGGGAGTTTATATTTTTATCCGAAAAATATATCAAATTTGGTAAATGTATTATAAGAATTTTCAAAATACATAATTGGTTTTCCAAATATTGAAGAATAAAATAACTTGAAATGTACATTTATCAAGCTTGTTTAGGTTCAATTAGGGTAAAAAAAGGCCCATCAGCATGAGTAATTGAATAAGTTTGAAAAAAAACTCGGGCTCGGCTCGACAATCAAACAAACCAAACTCAAACAATCCAAAGTTCGGTTGAGCTTGTTGTTTAGTTAGTAATTCTGCTCTTCTAATATTGGGGTTCATTCTCATATTGTAAAGCTACGGCCCATGTAATTAGTGGACTAATTAGTAATTACTACATGCAGTTATATGCTAAACTGAATTGGTCTAGTGAGTTAGTCGAATAACAGAATTCATTGTTCGTTCTTCTATTCCTTTCTTTCTGTATCTGCACTCCAAGAATTGGTATCAGCGCGCTAGGATTGGAGCTATGGGAAGATGGAAAATGGAGGAAACCTGCTTGGAAACTTACCAATGTTGGATAGCAGAAACCTGGATGGTTATGATCGGTGGTGTATCGAGATCAAAACGATCTTTGGCTTCCAGAATGTTCTTGATGTTGTGATGAATGGTTGTCCAGAAGTAGCGGCCACCATGACGGAGGCACAACGAGCAGTGCATAAGGAGCTGAAGAAGAAAGACTTCAAAGCTTTGTTTTATATCCAACAGCGTATAGATGATGCCAATTTTAAAAAAATATCTGGTGCGAATAGTGCCAAAGAGGCTTGGGATGCTCTTGAACGAAGCTGCGCCGGAGTAGAAAAGTTGAAAATGGTGCGTCTCCAGACATTAAGGCGACTGTACGAACTGCTACAGATGGAAAACAACGAAACCATAGCAGACTACTTCAACCGTGTGCAATCGTTGGTCAATCTCATGAAGTTCTGTGGGGAGCATATCAAAGAAATAGCATTTGTTGAAAAGATATTGAGAACCGTAAATCAGAAATTTGATTTTCTTGCCAGTGCCATTGAAGAATCCTGCAGCCTTGATGAAGTATAAAATTGAAGAATTGCAAGGTTCTCTGGAAGTTTACGAAAACGTGCTAAAGAGTGTGAATCTACTCAAAACAACAATGAACAGGCCTTGCTCGTTCAATCAAACAGAAAGAAGGAAGAGAAAAGTTCAAGAGGCCGAGAATGTGGTAGAGGAAGAAACTCACTGCGTGGTGGACGTGGTAGTGGAAGAGAGTTCCATGGGAATAAGTATGATCAAGGTGAAACCTCTTACAAAAGAGGTGGTGGACATGGCAGAGGAAGCTCTTGGAGAGGTGGTTGTGATAGAGGTAATAGCGACAGACAATTTCATGATAAGATTATTCAGTGAGAGCAATTTCAGTGCTATAATTGTGAGAAATATGTGCATTATGCAAATGAATGTTGGGGGAAGCACAATTCTCATGATAGACCAATTGCATTACTAATGGTAACCACTGATTCTAAAACCGGGAATGAGTCACTGAATTCTTGGTACTTAAACTCAGGATGTTCTAATCACATGAGCTGTCAAAAGGAGTGGTTTGTAGAGTTAGATGAGAGCATAAAGAACAAAATTCCTTGTGCAAATCTCACTACAATAATGGCAGAAGGAAAGGTAAAAATCCAAATTCAGAGGAAAGATGGAAAGATGTCAATAATTGGAGATGTACTTTATGTACCAAATCTGGGACATAACCTAGTGAGCCTTGGTCAGTTGACTAAAAGAACTTTCAGATCCAATTGTAAGACAAGTCTATGTTGATTTTCAGTCTCGAAGGAAAACTGATCTAAAAGCACCACTGAAGAAGAATAGAACCTTTCAGGTTGAGATTACACCAATCCATAGAGTATGCTTGTCTACTGTAATTGCAGAAGATGATTGTTTATGGCATCTCAGGATGGGGCACTTAAACTTTAGGAGTTTGGCTCAGCTCTCAAATCAAGGCATGGGGCATGGACTCCCTTCAACTTCAATGACAGGCCATATTTGTGATGGATGTTTAGTTGGCAAACAAGCCAGGAATCCCTTTAAGACTTGGAGGTAACAGGTACTTTATCTCATTTATTGATGATTACAGTAACAAGATGTGGATTTATCTGTTAGAGAAGAAAGTACATGTGTTTGATACCTTTGTGAGGTTTATGAGTCTGGTTGAGAAACAAACTGGGAAGAACTTGAAAGTTCTTAGAACAGATGGAGGTGGAGAATATGTTAATGTAGACTTTGCTAAATTTTGTGAAAATCATGGAATTGTACATGAACCCACTCGTCCATACCCCCCCCCCCCAAACAATGGAGTAGCTGACAGAAGGAATAGATCAGTATTAAATATAGCTAGGGGCATGATAAAGACTAAGCATTTGCCACATAGCTTTTGGGGTGAGGCTGTTGCTACTGCAGCCTACATTTTAAACATGTGTCCTACAAAAATGATGAAGAATATTACACCAGAAAAGGTGTGGTCTGGCTCCATATGCTACAGACGTATACCGGATGAGAAAAGGAAGAAACTAAGTGACAAAAGTGAGAAGCTGGTTCTAATTGGTTATCATTCTACAGGAGGCTACAAGCTTTATGATCCAATTAGCCAAAAGATTGTGATAAGCAGAGATGTCATTGTTGATGAAGCTGCTCAATGGAATTGGGATACATCCACACAGAAACAATCTCAGTTTGATATGGTGAGAGGAAGATTGGCCTCACTAGGCAGTGAGTCAGATTCTGAGCAAGAGCATGAAGTTGAGTTTTCACCTGAACAACATACTCTGGTTAATACTGGTAGACCAACAAGAAACAGAAACAAATCAGTGAGATTGAATGATTTTGAAGTAATCAGAGATGATGCAATCTCAGATGATGGAAATCTAGTTCATTTTGCACTACTTGTGGATGTGGAACCTGTAACAGTAGAAGCTTGCCAGAATCCTAAATGGAGGGAAGCAATGATAGAGCAATTTGAGGCAATTCGAAAGAATAAAACCTGGGAACGTTTTGCATTACCTAGACATGAAAGATCCATGGCAGTTAAATCATCATCATCATTACCCCAGTGCCGCAAAGGCTCCCACCTACGGTGGGGTAAGGGAGGTCAGATGTACGCAGTCTTGCCCCTGTACTGAAGCACAGAGAGACTGTTTCCGAATGACCCATAGTGAAAATTGCATCAAAAATTGCATGAACCGACTACTGCTTCATTACAAAGAAGCGCAGACAGTTTAGTGAGCCATTTTACTTTATTCCATCATATTCCAAAACCAAAAAATAGTGAGTCTTTGGCTCCATTGCAAATGATGAAAAGATCCATGGCAGTTATATGGGTATTTAAAACAAAGTAAAGACCTGATGGAACAGTAACAAAACATAAAGCCATGTTGGTTGCAAAAGGGTTCTTACAGAAAGAAGGGATTGATTATAAGGGATTGAAACAATCGGAACTGTGGTAGCTTATGCAAATCTTAATGGCTGGAGTCTACGGCAGATGGATGTGAAATCTGCATTCCTAAATGGACCTTTGGAGGAGAAGTCTATGTTAAACAACAATCTGGTTTTGAACTTAGTGGTAAAGAAGAAAATGTGTTTAGACTAAACAAAGCCCTATATGGACTCAAACAGGCTCCAAGGGATTGAAATAGAAGGATAGGCAACTTCTTTGAAAGGCATGGTTTCTTGAAATGCAAAGTTAAACATGTTGTGGACTCCTTTTGGGGCCACACTTATAAACGACGCATAATCCAAAGGCCCGAGAGTCATCATCTGGAAGTGGCTGAAGTTGGGAATAGCATATAGCTTCCTAATTCTAGTATATTTACTTATTCTAGTTACTTAATAAGTTAATATGTCTGAACTGGGAAACAAGGATATTGTTTCCTAATTCTGTTTTAAGTCCTGATTCTAGTCTTGTTTCTTTCCTATTTAGAACTCTAAGCAACCTCTCTATATAGAGGGGTTTTTGCTATGAAATATAGGAGGTTTTTTGGAG